GTGTCGTCAGCGTATTGTAATATGTATGCCGTTCTGTCGATTTGATTTTTGTCTGGTAAGTTGTAATTGTATATGTCATGGCAGTATATACTGTATAGAAAGGGTGAGAACGGGGATCCTTGAGGGAGTCCTTGTTTAGGGGAAAAAGAAAAGGAGAGTGTGTTGTCAATTCGTACTTGTAGTTGTCTGTTTTCTAATAAGTTTTTTATGGTGTGTAGTAGATATGGTGGTGTGCCATATTATTTGTCGCATACAATATTTGATATCTTCCACTATATTTCGTTCTACCCCCACGATTTGTCTCATATTTGACACATACCATATCCATTGTTTCTTCCTTCTTGTATTTAACTTCCAATGATGCTTACGACCCTTGGAAAGATTGGAGCCGTATTGTCTATTTTGTTATGAAACGTCGACCGAATGTTAATAATACGAAATAAAATAAAATATTATACTATAATACATATATGTATGTATAATATATACGTATAATGATTTTTCTAAGGGAAGCAATGCTTCGTGTGGTTTCGATGGACCGCACTCCCTGAATTTTGCGTTATTTATATGACTTTCAATGCTTTCTTACTTAAAACTAATAAATTTACAGTAGACCAAAAAATATTAAATCATCCAACTCGGATTTACATCATTTCATATTTTCTTATAAAAAAGTCACATTGGAAAACCACAAACGATTTTTCAGAATTGCAAGAATTGCAAATTGGACTCAACAAAGGACGTGATTCAACAAGAATTTCTTTTCTCCTAAAATGCTACAAAAAACACATAACAAAGTTACTAAAATTAATTTTGTAAATAAAATATTTGTCGTTTTTTACCAAATTTTTGAAATTAATGTTATAAAACGTTGTAGAGAAAACCAGCTAAAATTCATAATTTTTTTTCGTAATGATTTTTGTAATAAATATTTTATACAATAATACATTTGACAATTTTGAGTCGACAATTAGTTTATTTGTACCCATTTAAACAATAATCATTTGAATTGTTTTATTTAGCACAATTTTATGCTGCTATTAACATCCTTCCAAACTGAGCGCGAACGCACACTTATGGCCATTTGCAAGCAACTATAAGTGTGGCTGCTCACCGCATGTGTGTTTAAGTGCGCAGATTAAATGTCTATACACGAACTTAACAAAGCACAGATATAGAAAGTTACATTGTTATTTGAGTTGCTTTCAGTTGATTGTGTTCCTTTATTAAAAATTAGTTTTAACTTGTTAAGAATATGTTTAATTTTGTGTAAAAATGAGGTGTGTTTCTAGAATCTGCACTTAACCTTATAACAATAATCAAGTTTTGTTTTCTGCTTCATTTTGCTCTTCGCTTGTTTTTCCAATCGAGGCGTGCAGCATCAGTTCCCTATCTATAAACGTGTTTTGGAAAATGCCACAATAGTTTCTAAATTGTATAAAAAATTAAGTTGTTGAAGAATAGGAAAGTTATGGACAGAAAGAAGTAAGTTTTGTAATTAGTTGATTCGCTTCATAGAATTTCTTCATAGTTTAAATAACTCAAATGCTATTTTTAACAATAACCGTTGCAAATAATCAAGCTTATTTTCTATGAATTTTTAGGTTTTCAGGAAATTATTACTATTTATTTATAGGAAGTCCTATATTACCGTTTTATATTCAATAGGCTTGTTATAGTCAAAGTAATCGTATGTATTGAAAACGTGATAAGGAATTTCCCACATTCCTAAGTTTATCATGATGTTAAAAGAACCTCTTTCGATATCTTTCAACATTTCTTATATTAAAAAATATCTGTTTTCGACCGGCAGTTTTCAAGCCTCGGTCCTTTCTAAGATATGTATCAGCTTCGGGCATCATATTCCCTTCATTTCAGCTGCGTCTTGAAGCCTTTAACCAAAATTATTATTTAAGTTAGCTTGGGTCAGTTATATAGACTAGATGTTCAAGTTACTTATCTGACAAAGTTGAACATCAAAACTTGCATGTTAAGGGTTGTTACTGGGCAACTTCTTCGGGCTCATTTTCAATCTACCTGAAATTTAACTAGTTCAGACTGCAGCACACAACACACTCTTTACGAACGACTCTGTTCAATAGGGCATATTAAATATGACGCATAAAGAATGCCCATGCAATTCAAGAAGAGCAAATGTTGCAGGACAGTTCGAAACGACTGCAAAACATTCCCATAGCATAATTAACTGTATGTTTCTTTTTAAAACCAAATCTAAATGATCATCAAAATTATATTTTTATGGTAAAATATCGGTATCATTATTCGCAGACCTAATGTTAATTGAATTTCGTTTCGAAAACATTAATTATTAATCAATAAAGACTGAACGATACCTAATAATTCTAAATTGGTTTTCGATACTTTATTCTGTTTTTCTCTAAGTAATGTTTATATTGTTTCTGATACCAAGCTTTTTTGTAGGAGTTTTGTGTTCGCTTCTGTAACTTCCCCACATGGAGAAGATATACATCGAGTAAGATTGTTTTCATCCATAGCGCTTAAAACTATAGTATATTCTTAAAGATCAGTGGTATTTTATGTGCATGCTAAATAGCATTTATATGCGGAAGGGGATGAATACTTAGCTCATTTTCTGGCTAAAATCCACATAAACATTGGTAAAACCTGTTGGTTGCGATCTACAGGCTGCTGCAATTTTTCCTCAAATTTAAGACATATTATGCCGTGGAATCTGAGATATGGGCATGCCAAGTGAATGTGGGAATATCCACTGTACGTTTTTCAGTAATATCAATATAAGTAATTCCTAATTAGAACAATCTCTTGTTATAACATTTTAAAGAAATTAAAATGTGCAATTTAATTGCACATTTGTAGCCATGAAACGAGCAAAATATTTACTGAATTCCGCATTTACTTGATATTTAACGAATCCCTGTATATTAACAACATCACTAAATAGTTAATATATTTAACAAATATTGTAGAAAATATACAGTAATAATTTTTCGGACTAATTTAGTATGCGTATTGCAACTCTTTTCAAGAATTTTTTTTTGTTGCATTAACTTTCGTGTGTTTGGCAGGCTACATTAAGAGAAGCATTTGGACAGTTTGGGACAATTAAAAAAATATACGTACCTGCAGAAGATAGTACTTTAGCAAAAGTATATTTTGAAGATCCAGAGTAAGTATCATAATCCGAATTAGTTCTTATAATTGATATACAAAATACTCAATGTTTTTATTGATATTTTTCAACATTTTTACTGTCCGTAAATTTGAATGTGATCACAATCTAAACTGATAGATCTATCGTGTAAGTTGAAAGATATCATATATTCTTAATAATTGAATTGCCAATAATTGAAAATATGTGTCTAATTTTTCTAGAGTCACACATCGTGCATGCACTAATTTGAACGGTTTGAACAACTGGAATATCGAAGTTAGTGAAGATCAGAACAAGCTTGATCGAAATATAGCAACCGGAAATTACAGAAATAGTCACCAGTAAGTATTGGAAAATATTTGGAATTTAGCCAGTTCATTAATTTCTTCATTTCTACATACATATTTGCTTTATGAGTGAGTTTAGTCTTTTACATGATGCTATTTGTCCTTGTCTTGTATTTTGTGGAACTCATATGTAGTGCAGTAAACTTATTTCTTTTGATATTAAGAAAATTCCTATTTTTGATCAGTCGCTCTCGTTTTTTGCCCAGTTGCATGTGTTGAAAAAGAAGGTTCTCAAATATCTTTATACATTGTCTAAATCGACCAGTTCTTGTACATTAAAAGAATACTTTTTTATTGCTATTTAACTAGCAATATTTTAATTTTATATGCGGACAATTTATGAGAATAAATGTGGGTTTATAAAATAAAGACATCACGTGTGTTATAAATATGCTCATACTCTGTTCGAATTAGAACACAATCTGTTACAATTTAATAATGTCTTGATGAGCTTGCAGAGTTCGCGCTCTTTAAATAACGCGATGGATTTCATTTAAAAAATATTTGTTTTATCAACAGGAGATATAGAATCACAGCAATTTCATGGCTCGGGAATTTGCTGCCACAAGCAGTGTCGTGCCCGACGGGTTCGTTCATTTATATTCCAATTGTATCACACTGCTTTGGACGCAAAAATCTTGCAAAAACATGCCGTTTGGTCATTTATTTTCAAAAAAGTGTCGTGCTTGAAGTGATCGGTACAACTTTCACATTCCTTTATATTTCAATGTGTTTGTTGTGCCGAGCCCTTCGAGCACAGCGACATGGATTTCTTGACACAAATTGAGCAATCGTTATGTTTAGATGGTTTTCGCGTCCAAGCCAGTGTCGTTACGTTCGCACCACTTCAAAACCATTAGATTCCAAGGAGATTGCTGGGCCCAGTGCTCCGGACACGACACTGATTTCTTGACAAAAATTGGTCAATAGCCAATGGTTTTTGCGTCCAAGCCAGTGTCTTGCCCGAATGGCTGGGCACAACTTTGACAACCTAGATTCTAATGCGATTGTATTCAGGGAATTATGCAAATGATCGATATTCTCTCAGTTCACTATCAAAAGGCCTTCAGCATATCGACAAACCCTAACTTCGACAATGACAACTGGAACATGATCAATGACTGGTACTTGAACTACTTTAACAACTCACCAAAATATACTTACAAACTAATCACAGACACAGAGTACGATGAAGCCCTATCACATATCAAAAACACAGCACCGGGAAAAGAAAAAATAAAGGCAAAACTCCTGAAAAGCTTAACCGAAGAAACCCACAAACTCATCCTTACTGAAATCAACAACTGCATCAGAAATAACAAAATTCCGAAAACATGGAAA